AACCCCACCCGCCACCCCCAAAGCAGAGGGAAACGAATAAAGACACAACCAAGCCATCTCAACAATTTAGCAAGCTAAGGCTGATGCTAACACAAAGCAGTATTGACTATTTGAAGGTTAGAGAAGTGAAGAAAAGACCCTTCTGAGCGCATCCTGGGCGTGCCTCAGATGTCCCAGCATTCTGTTAGCAGGTGGAGATGGGATGGAAATTAAAGTTTTGCCCGCAGACCGGAAGTTAAACTTACAGTAACTCAGCAATCAGTTGTACCTGGAGGCATGCTCAAGCACTGCGGACACCGGCGTCCAGAGACGTGCTCTGTCCTGAGCATGCTCACCTTCCCCCTCTGGATTTTCAGATGTATTCTCTGAGCATTTCGTTCCCAGATGACATTCTTCTGATTTAGTTCCTAAATTCGTTTTCGATCTGGAGTTCTTCAAATGGAGGTGCTGGCTCCGTTAAGGTCTACAAAAATATGCTTGGACAGAGGAGAGGGTGGAGGCAGCCTCTTCGCTGTGACCTACAAGGCCCTGGAGGATCTGGGCCCTCTGCTCCCCTGAAGTCACCTCCTGTCACTCTCTCCCTTGCTCGCTCTGTTCCTGACATACCTGCTGCTCTGTCTTTTGAAAGTGCTGAGCTCGTTTCTACTTCAGGCTCTCCTGAGCTTATTGCCGGAGGGTTTCCTCCACATACTGGCATGCAGGTCTCTGGACAGGATGTGTCCTCAGACAGACCCGTTTCACAAAGCCATTCTTGCCTTCCTCCAACCCAGTCAGTCCATCAGGTGACCGTGGTACACCCTCATCACTTACGGCTACCTGACATGCCTTTTCTATTTACGTGATGGTGCTTTGTCCCCAGACCCTGCAATGAAAGCTCCAGGAGGTAGAGACCTTGTCTATCTTGCCCATTGCTCTATCATTAGCACCCAGAAAAATCCTTAGTACTCAAAAATAGGTATTCATTGAATAAATGCATGGACCCCCTGAAACTGTATGCTTTTATTTTCGTTTTTCCTGGGGAAAGCCCTTAGGTTTCATCAGATTTCAAAAGAGGTTCAGGAGGCCCCTGGGTGTCTCAGTCAGATAATCGTCTGACTCTTGGTTTCTGCTAGGTCATGACCTCAGTTTTGTGGGTTTGAGCCCCGTGTCGGGCTCTGCACTGGCAGTGTGGAACCTGCTTGCGATTCTCACTCTGGCCCTCTCTCTGCCCCTCCCCCACTCGCATTCTGTCTCTCTCTAAAGAAAGAAAAAAAGAAAAAACCCAAGAGGTTAACACCCCAAAATTAAGACTCACTGACTAAATTAGTAGTACAACTCCAGGGTTTTGCCACCAAAGCATGGTCCCCAGGCTGGCACCATCGGCATCATGTTATAAGGCCCCTCGGACCTCACCCCAGTCCTGCCAGATCAATGTACAGTTTAACAAGCCTCACGAGTGATTTGGAAGAACATGAAAGTTTGAGAAGTACTGCTCAAGGGCAAATCAATTACAGCACAGATTTTAAGCTAGGGCTTTACATTCCTCATTAGCTCTTTGCTGGCTACAATATTTCCAAGGGATAAAATGTTTGCTTGATAACCAAAAACTACTTTAAGACTTAACGTTCAGAATGGAGATGTGTGCATCTTACAACACTTTCCATTTTTCACCCTATCTTCCTCTTATCAATAGGCTGCCTTTGAAAAATACAATTTGAACTAATGATCTATTCATTACAACCTACTTCATAAAGGTAGAAATCTGCTTTGTTCGTTCTTAGCTCACAACGGAATCACTCAGGGCGCTTCAAAATATTGATGACTGGGTTTCATGCCTAGAGATTGGGATTTAATTGATATGCAGTGTAGATTAGGCATTGGCGTTTGGAAATGTTTCCCAGATGATTCGGATATGCAGTCAAAGTTGAAAGTTAAATTGAAATTGAGAAAAACCACATTAGCTGGGCACATCATCTACTTTCTCCAAAGCTCCCGGCAACTCCCACAGATGGCAAGGGAAGGAGGGTCAGAAGATCCCAGCTTGATCAAATCGTCTTCAAAGTATAGTTGGCTCCCTTTTTTTCTCCTCCTTCTTTCTTCTTGAAGCCTTGCTTCCCAGAGTTTGGCTACATTCAGGGAGATTTAAGCAAATAAGTAACTGCACTGAGGTTAATTGGAGCAGAGAAAGAGGTACAAATAAGGAAAAAGGGAAGCCCAGAATAAACTTGGAGTTGCTGGACTGCGATTAGAAGTACTACTGTAAATTTGTTTTTACTTTATTTTTTTAATGTTTATTCGTTATTGAGACAGAGAGAGACAGAGCATGAATGGGGGAGGGGCAGAGAGAGGGGGAGACACAGAATCCGAAGCAGGCTCCAGTCTCCAAGCTGTCAGCACAGAACTTGATGTGGGGCTTGAACTCACAGACTGCGAGATCATAACCTGAGCCCAAGTTGGATGCTTAACTGACTGAGCCTCTCAGGCGCCCCCCATAAATCCACTTTTTAATATCGTATAGATCTAGCCACAGACACAGACATATAGGTATTTCTATCTACAATTAAGATCATAAAAAGATAACGATAGGCTGAGGAACGGACACGAGACTGAAGAAACACAACTACCTACCACATGATCCTGGATCGGAATGTTGGGTCATTTTGGGGACATCAGCAAAATGTGAATCAGATGGGATACTGGATTAATGGGATATCCTGATTTTGCTGGTCATACAGTAGTTACGTAGCAGAGTGTCTTGTACTTATGAAATACACACCATCGTGTTAAGGGGCGACAAGGAGTCAAGGCAGCACACTCCTAATGTTTACGGGAGCTGTGTACTATTTCTGTAATTTTTATATAAATTGGAAATTGTCAAAATAAAAAGCTTTTGAAAATAGTCAGAGGTCACTCCTCCGCTCTAAATCTCCTGACAGAAATGTCCACACAGACTTCCATGTGAATGTTCTAAGCTCTTTATTTCTAACAGCGAACCCAAATGCCTATCCACTGGTATAACTGCTGATGCATGCAATACAGATGAATTTCAAAAGCATTGGAGACAGAGCACAATTACAGTGATACAGCGCAGATCAGTTGCCTAGGGTCACGGATGGGGTTGGGGGCTGGGGAACAGGTGGACTGCCAAGGGGTAAAGGGAGCCTTTGTTTAGTAGGGATGACAGAATGTTCTAGATCTTAATTAGGATTATTACACAACTGTATACAATTGTCAAAACTCATCAAACTGGGTCACTCACCGAAACTCACTAGAAACGGGTGAACTTTAGTGTATGTAAATAAATTAATTTAAAAAAATCTTGGGGCGCCTGGGTGACTCAGTCGGTTAAGTGTCCGACTTTGACTTAGGTCATGATATCACGGTTTCTGGGTTTGAGCCCCGTGTCGGGCTCTGTGCTGACAGCTAGCTCAGAGCCCAGAGCCTGTTTCAGATTCTGTATCTCCTCTCTTTGAACCTCCCCTGCTCATGCTGTCTCTCTCCCAGAAATAAAACATTAAAAAAACTTTTTTTTAAATCTCTAGGAGTTCCCCATTTCACAGTGTAAGCAAGTCCTTCAAAAGTCCTACATATTTCCCTTGCTCTCACCTCACTCTTCACACTGACCTACTTCCTCTCATACACTCAAAGCAGGGGCCACCTGTGAAACCTTTTCTGAGACAAGATAAGGAGTAAGAGAACTTGGTAGCAACTGGCATTGTTCTAATATCCAGAAGCATGGTCTTTCCTAGTAATTGTTCGTACATTCTATAAAAGTACATGAACTTGACAACTAAGTTAAAGTTATTCAAATAAGAGTCGGACTAAACGTAGCAGCTTTAGGAATAAGAACGATTTCCTTTTTTCCTCCTTATGTATGCATAAGAGTGATGGGATAAAAATCTACAGGAGTCCCGTAAGTAGACAATTTCTAACTTTTGTTCAAGGAAATAGTGAAAGAGAACACACACAAAAAAGTCAATAGTGTCACTGTAAAGTGTGCTTTATGTGCAAAAAATTGTTCATTTTCAAAGATGTCCATGGTTTTAGTAGCAGGGGACTGAATCATCCCTGCTGCTAAAGCATCCTTGGCGGCTCCAGCCCTAGGTATGAATCAAAAGCTAAAGAAAAACGAGCTTTGATGTTAAAGAATCAAACACTGGTGTTTGAGAATTAAAAGAGGTATCAATATTAGAATTGATAACCCTTTACAAGTCAGCCCATTTGTCTTAAAAAAGTATTACAGACTGCAAATTCTTTCTCTTGGAGGTCTTTGAATGAAGACTTTAGATTTAGCCAAGCAGATATTTGTTCGGAACAATTCCACATCAAGACGATGAGAACATAACATGAAAAGTTTGGAGACAGCATTCCCCTTCCGTTTTCCTGGAAAACATTAAGTACAGTTACTCTGAAATGGCCTTTATTCAATTAAATGCTGAATGAGCAGCTTTGTGGAATGCCTACTCACAGCAAAAAAACAATGCTCATTTATTTAAGGTGCACTAAGCTCAAATTTAGATCCTGCCTGGGTCTCATTTTCTTCTAACACCCAGGGCAATTTTCTTTTTTAAGGTGTGTGTGTGTGAGAGAGAGAGAACAGAGAGAGAGAGAATCCCAAGCAGGTTCTGTTCTCAGCTGCAGAGACTGATGCAAGGTTCAAGCTCATGAACCGTGAGATCATGACCTGAGCTGAGATCACGAGTCAGATGCTTAGCTGACCAAGCCACCCAGGTGCTCCTATTTTTACCATTAATGCAACTCAATTAAAAAACCAACCAACCAACCAACCAACCAACCAACCAACATAGCCTCCAACAGGATGGCAACTCTAAAAAACCCAATTCAAGGGCTTGACCTAATTCTCCTTTACTTTTATTAAAATGATTCAATGTTTCTCTGCCATTAGCTGCTCCAAAATACTACTAGGAAAGCATCCTCTGACAGGTTTATACACTTTAAGATGTGTTCTAAACTAGCGTAAGCATTTGCTGATAGGACAGTGAAATGAATGAAGCATGAGGTAGTTGAGTACAAATCATAGTTTATTGTACAAAATTAAGGCCTTCATATTTCATAGTTCACTAAGGCTAAACAAAGACCAGCTATTTTTTTAAATTGTTCACGAAAATTTCACTTTCACTCCCCCTCACTCCCAACTATTAAAATGGGATGACCAAATGTTATCAAAACAAACACTATAAATAACACCAAGTCCTTGAAAGACCACTATCCCGTATGTTATTTCTTGGCATAGGTGATCTTCATGGCATGGGAAGGTGTGATCTTAAATCCCTGTAAAGCATCCCTGGCGGCTCCAGCCTGTCCGTCATTCTCAAATTCAACAAAAGCAATGTCATGCCTCCCAGGCACCAATCGTACTTCCTTGAAACCAGGAAACCTGTAAAAGGAGAAACAATTTATATAAATGCTATCAAATACATAGATGTCTAGTCTGTGTTTAAATTTGCTAAGCAACTTCCTGATATTGGCTGAGGAAAAGTATCACAACCTACCAAAAATCCCGAGTAGGCGGAGAGTCTAAGATGTAATTAGTAACATTGTGAAAGAAGTGTCAGTATAATGTAAGCTACTTCTACTTTTGCCATTCTATCAAGGCTTGGGTTCCTGTTTTACTCATCAATTAGAATTAATAATTCAAACATCAGAAGTACTTCAGCTTTTCATTTGCTAAAGCTGCAGACTGGCTTCAATGCAGGATTAATCCCAGACCAAATCCACGACCCTGGAAGGAAGTACTGCTGTGTGATACACAAATGGATTCAGCCAAGCAAGCGCTCCACGTCCTGGTGGGAGGATTTCAGAACACACACTGGTTTATGAAAAGACTTACTGATTAAACAGCATGGATAACATCATCTCATTCGTTTCTTCTGGTAAATTATTAAGGAATAAAATATAATTTGGAGGGTAATCAGGGACCTATTACAAAGAAAAAAGCAAAATTAGTTCTTAATATGAAAAGTATAGTAAACAATTTAGCTCTTACATTAAAATCTAAACTGCAGAGAGCTACATTCCAGTTTATTAAGGATTATGAAATGGTAGCACTACATCAAACACTAAAGCTGAAAAACAAAGACACCATACATAGACATAAACCTGACAGCAATTAAAGAGACATTCAAGCCACTTTATTAAAAAATTTGGATGATTACAAATCTCAGGAAGTTTTAAGAACTAAATAGTGTTTAAAACAATGTTTAAGTTGTAATGGGATGGCTCTGTCAGCTGGATTACACAGTTGAAAGACCCTAACTAGAGAAGGCAGCAGTGTCGCCCATCCTCAGCTAGTGACCCATGCAATAACACTCAGATACTCAACCCTCTGCATTTTGTTTACAACCTCCCAGCACTTAAGAAAATTTGGAACTACCACTTAAAGCCACTACTGGGTGACTCATGTGTTTTGCAAGTAAATGAGATATACAGAACACCTACTTACATCCAAGTAAGTAAAAACAAACACCGTTGTTAGATATTAAGCCAGTCTTTTGACACCTCGACCTGGGATTATAAGAACCGATAGAGACAGGGTCACCTTGTACATGAGAGCCTCTCTGTCTTCAGGCTACTTTCATGAGGAGAAAAGATGATGAGTATAGAACTTAAGGCTTAGAGAATGAAGTACTGGCATTTGTAAACTGTACTATAATTGGCAAAAGACTTCAAAGAAGGGGAATAGATAATATATAAAGATGTACACAATTTATAATCAGAGAAGGAAAGCTCAGAAGTGCAAGGATTTCTCTGGATTTAAGGATCCTGTCAGACTTGAGCATCCAAGGAACCAAAGAGGAGACCGTTAGGACATGATTGAGGCTTGCTCCTTGAGGTCTCCAGCAGGGAGATTTGCTAAAAGGTTTCTAAAACATCTACACAAAGAGACATAGATTTGTTCTCAGAAGAAAGAGCAAAGGTGACCATAAACAACTTTGCTCTATTAGAAAAGACGGTTTAGCGCTTCAAGCAACTGGTATGGAAAGTGAGCCCATCACCTGGCCAATTTCCCCAAGCTGTGTGTTTGTAAAGCCCTATGGGCTTCAGACATACTGCAGGGAAAACAAAAGTGTTTGCTTCCAGCCTTCGCAGAGTTTAACATTTGTCATTGTGATTCCATCACTCAAACATTACAGAAAGCAAAAAATAAAGTCAGGTTTCATGTTCTCCCCTTTAAAAAAAATGTTTCGAAGAATGAGTTTCTATATTAAAGTGCTATATAATTCAATGTCTTGTAGAGGAATTATTTTCAATTTTTGGAGACATGCAAGTTGTATAGTATTGCTATTGGTTTATAATTTTATTTTAAAGAGCAAGCACCACATGGAAAAAAATATTACCTGAGGATTTGGTGTTGAATTTCCTTGGGTATTTGCTGCATTTGGGGTTCCCTAAACAAAAGGAAGAGAAAATAGTTAAAACTTCCAATCACAGATGTCTAGGTGGCTCAGTCGGTTAAGAGTCCTGACACTTTATTTTGGCTCAGGTCAGGATCTCATGGTCATGGGATCGAGTCCAGTATCCAGTTCCATGTGGACAGTGCAGAGCCTGCTTGGGATTCTCCTTCTCTCTCCCTTTCTCTCTGCCCCTTCCCCACTCGCATATGCTATGTCTCAAAATAAACTTAAAAAAATTTCTAATTGCTCTAAAAAGGCCAAGAGTTTATAATTTTAATTACCGCATAAAATTAACATTAATTTTTAAAAGACCACCTACTAAATGGGAGAAGACATTTGCAAGGGACATATCCAATAACAGGTTAAGTATTCAAAATATATTAAGAACTGATAAAACTCAACACCCAAAAAAAACCATCCAACCAAAAAATGAGCAGAAGACATGAACAGACATTTCTTGAAAGACATACAGAAGGCCAACAGATAAATGAAAAGATGCTCAACATCACTCATGTCCAGGGAAATGCAAATCAAAACTGCGATGAACTAACACACTTCACACCTGTCAGAATGGCTAAAATGAGAAACACAAGAAACTACAAGTGTTGGTGAGAATGCGGAGAAAAAGGAACCCTCGTGCACTGTTGGTGGGAATCCAAACTATGGAGGTTCCTCAAAAAATTAAATCCAGTAATTGCACGACGGGATATTTATCCAAAGAATACAAAAACACTAATTCCAAAGGATATGTGCACCCCGATGTTTATAGCAGCATTATTTACAAAAGCCGGATTATGGAAGCAGCCCAAGTGTCCACTGATAGATGAATGGAGAAGATGTGGTGTGTGTACATATATATGTGTATATGTGTATGTATATGTATACATATATACACACAATGGAACATTATTAGGCTATAAAAAGAATGAAATCTTGCCACTTGCAACAACAGGGATGGAGTGTCTAATGCTAAGTGAAGTAATTCAGAGAAAGACAAATACCATACAATTTCACTCTTGTGAAATTTCAGAAACAAATGAACAAAGAAAAAAGAAAAACAACACAAAGAAACCAGCCAAGAAACAGACCCTTAATTACAAACAACAAACTGGTGGTTGCAGAGGGGAGGTGGGGGGGGGTGAAATAGGGGAAGGGGATTAAGAGTACTCTTCTACTTCTCGTGACGAGCACTGAGTAACGTAGGGAATTGTTAGATCACTATGCCGTACACCTAAAACTAAAAACACTTGTGTTAACTATACTGGAATTAAAATTTTGAAAAATTAAAAAAAAAAAACATTAAAAAGATTTCTTACCCCATTTTAAGAATTTACATTTCAAATGACTCAAACTTAAATTCGTCAGTTAATTTTGAAAGATCTAGTCCTAAATTTTAAGGACTATATCATTAACCGTAACCTCTAACCTTTAAGATTATGAAGAAATACATTAAAATTACATATTTATGATACGTAGATATAAAATTACGTAGAAATATATATGGAAAAATCAAGAACCCGTCTTAATATTTTTTTTTAACTTTGAGAAAGAAAGTGCAAGTGGGGTAGGGGCAGAAAGATGAAGAGAGAATCCCAAGAAGGCTCCACGCAGTCAGTGCAGAGCCTGATGTGGGGCTCCATTCCACACACTGACACCATAAACTGAGTCAAAATCAACTGATTTTGAACTGACTGAGCCAGCCAACTACCCCCCTTAAATTTTTTTTTTTTAACAATTATACAAAAGTCAAGCATTATACTTCGTGAAACTGATTTCTAATCACTTTCAATCCAAGAAGAACTACTTTTATCTGGTATTTTAAATTAGATTTTGAATTTCCAAATTGTTTAAAGAAAGCAGTTTTGTGTGGCACACTCAAGTTAAAGATAGTATCCACAGCATCATTTGGATACTATCCAAATTATTATTTGGATGATCTGGATGCAGAGGTTGAGAAATAACCCAACAGATAATGAACATATTTTGAAGAACAATGTAACTGAATGGCAAATTCAAACAAAATAATACAAATCTGCAAATGCAAAGGTTTATGTTTTAATCTGGTGCTTAAACACAAATCTTGGAATCTTGTAAGATTCAACCACTCCAGCTTCTTAAAAGTCCCCCTGAAACACACACAGGCACAAACATGCGCACACGCCTCAGAGATCCTCCCGGAAGTGAAAAACGGACGCCCCGGTCAAGTCTGCACCACCACCAGAGCCAGGGCTTTGGCGCTGCTTACCTGGCCAGGCTTTTTGTTGGCAGTTGTCGCAGTCTGTTCCACCGTTTTTGCTTTTTTCTTTTCCTTCTTCTTTTCTTTGTCGGCAAAAGTGCCACGCATTTTAGATATTATATCAGAATCTGTTTTTGCATATTGGATTCGCTGTTTTAATTATGCGGAAACAGGTTACTATTTATTATGCTGAAGGCTGTTTATGCTACTCATTAATATTTCAAATTTCATTACACAAATACACTACATGCTAGTTTGAAACACATCCCTAAGGAAATATGTCAAACACACACCCGATGAAAATAAATTGTGGTCTATGATTCACAACTTTTAGACAAAGTCAGACTCAACTATGTTTACCAGAAGAAAAACCACAGATTTTCATTTGGGAAAAACAGAACTTTGCAGTATCTGCACCACTGCTTCTCTACATTTCATAAAACAGAGAGAAGTACATTGGAAAGTTGTCTGCTGCTTAGCAGGGAGTCGCAATGAAAGGGTTGAGATGTGGATTGTGTCATACGGGATTTGTGATTTCCAAAGTTAAGTAATAAAGACTGTGAAGAATTTCCCTTTGAATCCAATCTATTATTTTTTTTTTTTTAAGTTTATTTAATTATTTTGAGAAAGACAGGAAGAGTGCAAGCACAGGTCGGGCAGAGAGAGGGAGAGAGAATCCCAAGCAGGCTGCACAGTCAGCAGAGCCCGATGTAGGGCTCGAACCCAGGAAACCATGAGATCATGACCTGAGCTAAAATTAAGAGTTGGATGCTTAACCTACTGAGCCACCCAGGTGCTCTGCTCTATTATTTTTAAATGAAATGACCAACAGTGGCATCAACTTAAACTTTAAAATGCTTTGAAAAAAAAAAAACAAAGGACGGCATCGCACGAGTGCACCCAGGTCACCTGTTGTTTCTTCCTATGCCCAAGGCAGCAGGGACAGCATGCTAGCGAGACAGCAGGCGGGCATTTAAAAACACTGATCTAGGAGAGCATTTTGTCAACTTTAATGTGCTTTCCAACTACCTGGAGAGCTTGTTAAGTCTGCAGATTCTGATGCAGTAGGTCTGAGAGAAGCCTGAGATTCCGTACTTGTACGAAGCACAGGGTGGACGGTGGGCATGGCCCCGGCCTAGAGCATTACCCCACTGCTAGATTTGATCACCCATTCCAAAATTTTTGCTAGGAGTTACAACTATTTCTAGGGTGCATCTATTTGCAAAGTACAACTTCCCATTTCAAGGAAACATTTCTTTTCTGGAGTTGAATGAGATGAAACGAGTTCTCTGACCATTATCAAAACACAAGAGTCCTACAAATTACTATCTAAACTTGCCTTATAGAGCCAAGAATTTCATCTCAGTCAGCAGGGAAACCAGAGAACTTCCAAAGTATCGTGGGTCTAAAGCAGGAAATGGATCAAAATCAAAAGGAAGTCTGCCTTTTCTTTACCTCAGCGAGAGATGAACGCACGGGGGCAACAAGGAGTGCATGCCTACCTTCACCTTAGTACCTAGCACCTTCTCTGGCTGCTCCCGGCTGTTGCAGCAGAAGGTCTCCAAGTGGTCTTATCCCTGCAAACTGTGGTTTTGCACAGCATCATCTAACCGGAAGGAACAGACTTGGTCCTAAGGATTCCCTCTCATCTCCCCAGTTCTCACCTTCTCTCTGACCTGAACAGATCTCGGGTGACCTTGTGTCTGTTCTCATGACACAGTCACCTGTGAAGAAAACAGCTGACCTTAAGTCATCATTCTTAGCTGGCTGGTCTACACTACTGATTCTCATTCCAAGGTGATTTTGCCCACAGGGGAAAGGTGGTGCTGTCATGCTACTGGCGTGTAGTAGATAGGACCAGGGATGCTGTTAAACACTCTGCCAACGAACAGGACAGCCCACCACGACAAGAATTATTCAGTTCATAACATCAACCTCTGGTCTAGACTAAGTACCCATTACCGACAGAAGTAGTACACCCACAGCTTAGAGCAGGGGCAAGGTTTACATTTATGCTAAAGGTTTCACAACAGAAGCCATTCAGGAAGATGGTTCTATTTTTGGCATCAAATAATCAAATATCCTTGAATTCGGGTAATTTTGGTATGAGTTCCATGTTATAGCGAATTTTATTCATTTCTGATCTGGTCTGTTGGGAGTTAAAACAGAAGAGCCACCAAAACCACCTAAGTAAGACAAGACAAGACAGCTCAAAGAATGTTCTTCTCCTTCTTCCAGGATGCTGGAGATTTGGCAGTATCTGCTGCCTTCTTGAAGGCAGAGAATGGAACTCATAAAATACTTTCAATGCAATATCAGTCTACTGGGCTTTTTCCATGGATTTAAAGTAATTAGTTGGCAAAGTGAAGCCAGTGCCAAACAGCCATTTCTAGCTCTTCTGTAACTGAGTAATAGGCACAGGCAAACTTGCCATCTCAACAGAACAGCCTTAAAATCCTCTACAGGAAGAAATTATTCCTCCACATTAATGTGATTTTAGATTTAAACTAAAACCCAGTCTTAAGCTCCTGCCAAGTGAGATCTCCATTAGGCTATTTCTTCATAGGTACTAAGAAAAACAACCTGGTTTCAGGAAATACCAATTTATCAAAAAGCAGGAGTGCAGGCACAATCCCAGTTTTCTGAGGTGGGCTTGGTCACACAGATGGTGCCCATCAGATGGGAAGTGATGGGAGAAGGGGAACTTGATAGAAAAGGAAAACTGGCTCCAGTGATAGACAAAAAGTGCCCACTCCTGAATTAAACAGTGTGCTACATAAAAGGCCCTCGAACGACCAACCACAGCCGACCCTGCCCATTTTTGTAAATTAAGTCTTTTGGAACAGAGCCACCTTCATTCATTAGCACACCATCTATGGCTGCTTTTCCTGCTATAAATGCAGAGTTAAATGCTGCTGGGGAGGCCAGTGTCTCAGCTGGTTAAGTGTCTGACTTTGGCTCAGGTCATGATCTCGCGGTTTGGGAGTTCAAGCTCTGAATCGGGCTCTGTGCTGACAGCCTGGAGCCTGCTTCAGACTCTATGTCTCCCTCTCTTTCTCCTCCTCCTCTACTCATGCTCATGCTCTTTCTCAAAAATAAACATTAAAAAAAAAATTTTTTTTTTAAAGCTGCTGGAGAGATCATCTGGCCCACCAGGCCTAAAATATTTACTACCGGGCCCTTCAGGACAGTGTGTGGACCCCTAGTTTAAAGAAAAACAAAATCACAATAGTGGGTGTTAGATTAGCTTTCAAGTCACCTCACTGTCACTGGTTATATTAATGTAACCTAGATAGGCAACTTCTGTGCCTCATTCTCCATTTCTAAAATAAAGGGATTAGGCCAGTATCTGCACTACAAACTATGAGCCAAATCTAGCCCATGGCCTATTTTTGTAGGGGCCTATGAAGCCTTTTTTTTCTTTTCTTTTCAACCAGTGTTAAAGGGTTGTTAAAAGCACTCACACACATACACAAGAATATGCAACAGAAACTGTATGTGGTCCACAAAGCCTCAAATATTATTCACTCCTTGATGAGGTGTTTGCTAATCTCTGAATTGGCCCAAAGGACAGCCATTCCACAGGTACTGAAAATGAACACACCGGGTACAGAGACACTTAATGGCAGAATGAGGACCCAGGGCCTCCAGTCCCAGAGGAAAGCACTCAGAAATCCACACCCAAGGTACCCTGTATTCATTCACACATTTGGAAATCCCCGCTTTACACCCTGTCTGTGTTCTAATCCAATCCTCCACCATCTCTGCCTTACACCACTGGCCGCCTTATTGAGTTCCCTACATCTCTCCTGGTCCTCCCACAATCCAATTTTCTTCCAGCAGCTAAAGGTGAATCTCACTAGGTCATTCCTGAGTTTAAACTTTCTATGCATAACTATTTCACTTCTGGTCATTGTTATTCAGCAACAAAACCTAACAATTTAAACTGATGAATTTTTCTTAGGTCCCTTCTTTTCCTAGACTGTATAGCTTCTGATATGGGCTATTTCACTATACTATTTTCTGAAATGTCAAAGTGTATTTCCTTTGACCCATGATTTTATTTTGTATTATTTTACAAGTTTACAAAGATTTCTCTTTAATCCTCCGAGTTATTAACTTCTAGTTCTTTCAAGATAAGAATACTGCCAATGCTACTACAGTTTTTTCTAAGCACTCTATATCTTGGGGCACCTGAGTGGCTCAGTAGGTTAAGCCTCTGACTCTAGATTTCAGCTCAGGTCATTCTCTCAGGTTCATGGGTTCCTGAGTTTGAGCCCCACATCGGCACTGTGCTGACAATGTGACATCTGCTTAGGATTCGCCTCCCTTTCTCTCTGCTCCTTCCCCACAAATAAATAAAAGTAAACTTAAAAAAAAAAAATTAACACTCTACATCTTAATGTATTTTGTTATTGCCTATCTGAACTATCATAAACTAAGTGAATTATAAACTCTACTACTATTGTGTTTCTATAAACATAAACGTGTAAATAAACCAAACTTGCTCTAACATATAATTCAAGGCAGAAAGAAATACCCATAGTTTCATGCATATGTGTACAAACTTAACATATCACCAGTAGGGATTATACCCAAGAGAATCGTCTTGCCTTACCATTGGTTTACCATAAAATGGAAATCCTTGTAACTGTCTCAAGGCATTTGTGGACGAGCCCAATTCCTTAAATATAACAAAGGCTTGACCCCTCATCTTCATGGTCTTTAAAGCTACAATATCTACCACGTGGCCAAACTGAGAAAACAGGGCATACAGGGATCTCTTCAATTCTGAGTAAAATTAGAGGGGAAACAAGTTATTTGTGAAAGGAACAATGACAAAATTCTTCATTAAATGACACTGCACGGAGTACCCCCCATCATACACTTATTTATACAAAGTTACATATTTTTAATAAAATCACATTATTCTTTTGGCTATCTAATTTTAAAAGTTGTTTCACACCATTTTAGCTATGAGTAAAAACACATTCCACTTATTTTCAGCCCCTATTCTTGTTTTAAAAAGCCTTAAAATCCTCACACAAAAAGAAACAAGACACGGTTTTAGGCACTGACAAAAAGGACTGCATGAGAAGTTCTGAAGCAGAACAATTTTGAACATGTTGGTAATTAAACATGCTTTGGTTGTGAATAAATGTTTTCTAAAAGTACTCACCTTCTTTTTTAATTTTGTCATTCATATTGTTGATATAAATTGTATGATTTGGTCTTATATCCATGTTTGGCGTTAAACTGTTCAAATAGCCTAAGGAGACAGTAAATATTCGGTTACAAATGGAGAGCGTTAACTCACAATGCCGTACGTACATCTCAATTTTTTTTCAATCCCAAGTGTCAGAAAATACTAGTTTGTTAGCAGTTTTTAAAACCTCTCCAACACTTGCTAGCCCTACTTTTTAAACAAACAAACAAACAAAAACAGTTCTCAGGCTCAAAACTTGGTGGAGCACCAGGACCCCGGCAGATTTTAATAAGATTATTTCATCCAATACGTTTATTTTTATACTTCAATTTCACTTGTGACAAGCAATACTCTTTTTTCACCTGCCTCATAAAATAATTTTAATTTTTAATGAAACTATTTTACAATTGAGATTTCAAGAAAAATGAAGAAGAAACTAACAAATGTATGCCTAGTAAAAATTATTAAGACACAACATTAACAAAGCTTACCCCGCAATACTTCATGGGTACACTTCAAAGCACTTCCTACCTATTACTTAATTTACATACACCATCACCAGCTGTCCTGACTCTACCTGAACTGAAGTTAGGGAGCTCAGCGTAGTGCTGGGCGATGGTTAAGAGTTCAGATTCTAGCACAGACCACATCTGAATTCAAATTCTATCTGTGGTTAGCATTAGCTACTCCACAGAGAGCAAGTTCCTTAATCTCTGGGTCCAGAGCGGTAAAATGGGGCTGGTGTAACAGCATTTACCGAGTAGAACTCAAAAGACTGAACGAGATATAAAGTTCAAGCACAGTTCTTGCACGGGCAGGAAGCACTTCAAGTAGCTGTTACTAACGGCGATTACAGATTAAAGGACTTGCCTAAAGTCAGATAGCTAATGAACAGCCGGCCGGGCAATTCCGCGGGTCTCCTCGCACTTCTCTTTCACACTCACCTCGCTACTTTACTTTTTACATTGATTTCAGTTGCAGGGTGTGGCTTTGCTTTATTTCCTTGGGTGCCCCATGTTTTCCTTCATTTCACAAATTTCAGGTCCACTGTTTGTGAACAGTATAGGACCACTGACAAAGGAAGAGCCTACAGATGGGGACCGCACTTAACAGGTGAAGGTAATGCTTGTCAGGCGTGCGACCCCCAACCCCGACCCTTTACCTGAAAAAGAGCTGGGGTCGCGAAAACGACGAGAAGGAAGTGATCGGTCAAACTTAAAGCAGAACCCTTAGAGGGAAGACTCTGGCAACATTTCATACGGGGTTTGATGGTGCTCTGGATTAGAGCAAGGGTACCGGAAGTCCAAAAGGAGCTCGCCACCTCTTCGGCCACAGGCACGTTCGACCCAAACCCCAGGAAGCGGCCACGCGATCCCCGACCCCAACCCTTACCACCTGAGACAACGCTCCTAAATTAGGGGTCCTAGCGGGGCCAGCGCGTCAGTTTCAAACTCTACCCGCCTCCTGTGCGAACCCCGAAGCGAACGCGTGCCGTCCCCCCGACTGCGCCGCTTCCCCTCTAGGTTCCCACAAGCCTGCGTAGGTACCAGCGGCGGCCGGTAGCGAGAAGAAAGGAAACAAGCTATGAAAACACGTTCCAACTAACCTGAGGCCTGCTTTGCTCCCTCAAAATCCGAAAGCCGGAAAGCGAGCCGCCACCGGAAGTTACGCTACCACGCGTCTCAATCAAGTGCCGACAAACTCGAACAGTCGAGCACGGAGTCGATCGATGCCCCGCCGGCACTTGGGGCGACCGCTGGGAATCTCTCTGCGCATGCGCAAACCTAGGAGCCGGAAGGACGGCTAGGGAAGGGGAAGAAATTTGTAGAATCCCCATGGATTAAACTCTAATATTGGGATAATGCAATGAAGGAACGGCGGTGATTCCTTACCTAGCTACTGCTTTGTGCTGTTTTACCCCACACAACGGTGCTTTCATCTTTTAAGATCCTATATGGTTTTACAGGCAGCCCCTCATACCAACTAGGGCAAGGTGCCCTGGTTTGCCCTTCTGGGATCACTGGTGGCCTCTGGTTTAATCTCTTCTTTAAGGCGGCTGATACCTCCTCCCTAGTGCTCTCAGAGTCCTGAGACTGCTGAGGGAACTCTCCTCAAACATTCTGCTGGTGAGCATGAATCACAGAAGCAACTCGGTTTGAGGATACAAAGCAGAGGGAATTGATGTCTCCCTTCCGTGCTCTCACTTGATAAGGCAACCACCTCCAGTAATAGCCAAGCAAACACCCCTAAGACCATCTGCCTGAACTCAGCTGAAACAAAACAACAAAACAAAACACTTCCCTACCACTTACCATCTTTTCTCTCCACAAAAATGCCCAGATTGTTCTGGGATAACGCAAGTTGTTGTTGATGCCTAGCTGAATGGGAACCCAAAAACGTACATGCAGTCATTCTCTTATTCATTAAATGTATGTGAATATTGAGGTTTTGTAATGGTGAGGGTTCAGAGCTGATGTACAAGAAGGAAATCTTGAAGGTATCTTTGGTGCAAAAAAGGTGATTTTAATTAAAACAAGGGGATAAGACCCAAGGGCAGGAAGAGCTGCACTGGCATTGTGAATAGTGACTGGTTATATACTATGGAGTTGGGGAAGTAAAATCAAAGGCGAAGCCTCCAAAAGGACTTTGATGTGCTGAAGAAGACTTCTAAGATACCTGAGGCCTTGCTATTGTCAAGCTAAGGTTGTTTTCCCTCTAGTAAGGCATTAACATTAGGACAGCATGGGGTTCCTGGAGAAATGTTACACTCTGTATTTGCCTTAAGTATTTGTCAATGGGCTGCAGATTATAAAGAAATTTAATTTTACCTGCCATTTCCTTCTTGAATTGTTCCCCACATCACTATGGAGGGGAAGGTGATATTAGGGGCTCCAGGAAACTGAGTCTATAAGTGTCCAGAGATTAGACTACTGATAAGATTGCCTTTTTCTTGTAATTTACTAAGACATTTGGAGACTGATGGAGACTCATGTCCTGTAGGATTATGATCCCTTATTGGTTAACCATTTCATTTCTTCCCTTTCTTTGTTCTTGGGCAACCAGGAGTGCCTGAAGAATATCACACATATTCCACCTGTGGGAGGTGGGGAGAGGTTGTGATAACTTGTGCTTGGCCCTCAGCTTGCCTTATGGCCCCTCATCAGTATCATCTGAAATATGAAATGGTTGTTATGAGCCACAGGAAATCTAATCTAGTATCTTCTGTTAACGTTAAAAATAAAACTGTTATTTTACCAGCAAAAAAATGTGTTTATTTGGGAGTGGCATGGAATTATAAAATTCAAGACAAGCAAGTTACAGGAAAACCATTGGCTAATCCCACAAATACAGCAGAGGAATGTTATTTTTATGCAGAAGAAGGAGGAAATGGGGAGGGGTCGTTTTGAAGGAAAAATCCATTGGGGGAGATTAAAATCCCCCCCACAAGATCTCAGGGTGATGAGGGTTTCTCATTGGATGAGTTATAGGGAGAGTGAATTTCTTGTAGGAAATGCAATGTACATCTTTTTTCTGTTGGGACCTGTAATTGATTATTCTTTCCTATGGAGGTTTCTTTTGTTGGATGGTAAGTGACACTAATTTTGGAGCTTGTAATTGACAATGCTTCCTGTAATTGATGTGATACTTTCCTTTCTAGCCTCCCCAATCCACTTTAGTGAGGTCTCCCTTTATTAATTTTCTCAATTCCCCTTAACTAATCTCTCAGAGCCTGCTTTCCTCATCTGTAAACTAAGGATCATAATAGTACTTCCTTCTGGAGCTATTGTGAGGATTAAGTGAGCTTTTAAATGTAAGGTGGTTAACACACTGTCAGACACAAAATAAATGATTTATAAAAGTTGTTTCTAAATGCTGGCTATGATTTGTGCATATGGATTAAGGAGCCAAATAGGTTGTTTTTACAAGATGGAGATTTTTATTTTGTTAAAAGATCATCTGAAGTTGCAACTACTTGAAAATAATGTAAGCTTCTTGAGGGTGGGGATTGATTTGTTCACTCAAGTGCCCTCAGTAACTAGAAAAGTACCTGATACTCATAAATATGTATTGAATGAATGAATGAATGAATGTTCATGGAAAATTAGGTAGCACTAAACAAATGCTATATTTTATAAAGACACACATGTGTAGGAAATAATGATAATCACAGGGGTACCTGGGTGGCTCATAAGGTTTACATAACTGTCTGGTTGTCGTCTCAGGTCATGACCTTAGGGTTTGTGAGTTTGAGCCTCACTGTCAGTGCAGAGCCTGCTGGGGATTCTCTTTTTCTCTGTGCCCCTCCACTGCTCTTTCTTTCTCTCTTTCTCAAAAAAAACATAATTAAACTTTGAAAAAAAAATAATGATAATCACAGATAAGTATTATTTTCATGTATATATTAGAAGAAATGTAACTAGTCTTGTCTCAGTTAAGGAATTATGAGCGAATTAAAAAGGGAATATCCTTAACACCTTGAAAGAGAATATAAACTAAAACATAATTTCTGGATAACAAAGGACAAGCTGCCCATTAATATGGTTATCTGAGCAATTAATTAATTCTGTTTGATGCTGCCGTGGACAGCTAAACTTATCTCTCTGAAAATAAGCTATAACATGATAGTATTATGCGAGTGCATCTGGCCAAGAACTCATCATAACTATTAAAAGAGGATGAGGTAGGACTTTGCCAAGATGAGAAGGAAATACCACAGGAAACACAAAGACCTAAAGTCACATCGTGTTTCATTAACAACTAAATAAAGGCTACTATACATTACTACCGCTGTGAGAAAGAAATCCTCTAATGCCAACTCAGTGACAATAATCAGAAAGCTATTTCTCAGGTTCTTTTTAAAAGAGCCCGAGCATTTCCTGTCCTTGGGCAATTGCTCTGGGCTTTCCGATAGCCTGTTAATGATCTTCTATAGTTTCCTGAATGATTTTGAGAAATTGGTAATTGAAAGCAGGAGTGAGAAAGGAATGAGGGGGACAGAGGGGCTTTTCTGGTCTTGTGAGAAGCCTTGCATGGCCTAGTTCTAGAACTACATGAAGAGCATTATAATATCTGAACTTTGGTCACACATACTGTAAAGCAGTTGAGGCCAGACCCCTGGTTCCCAGACCTACTTTGAAAGCATAAGGAGAGCTATAGTTGAGTTCCTTGTATTAACTTACCTTCACTTCCATTTTGTCCCCTACTTATTTATATTTTATGCACCTCTTTTCAACCAGCAACTTTGCCTTTTCCACTCTTACTCCCTGTTTACTGACTGATTGTAGTAAACTAATGGGGACCGGACGCTAACACTTGTACTGAAATTACCTGAGTACTAGATCGCCAGTTCCCAAAGAGTCTTTCATAGTCTGAAAGAAAGCATATCTCCAAATCATTTCAAGGCACCTCACCTCAAGTTTTCAAGAAATCTCTTCCACTCCTCGGGTCACATATTCACCTCTTTCCCCAAACACATATAAGCTGTTCGTAGGCTCAACAGAACAGGGCAAGGCGGCTTTGGGAATGATCCCTTTTCTTCTCTCCTTGGGCTGCCCTTCTGATGACAAAGTTTTATTTGCCTCAAAACCGGTGTGTCACACTTTGGCCCCCTGCGCATCGGGTGCACGAACAAGTTAGAGTTTGGGAACACAACTATCATTCCTTTATAACCAAATTCACCTCTTGAGGGTCAGATCAAGAATCTGTGTCAAAAGCTTACGTGTTTTAAAAAATAATAGAAGAGCAAATGGGTTTCCTTGGAGTTCTGCTCAGTCCAGGCTCTCATATTTCAGTTAAACAACATGATTTACTTTCCTGTGGAACAGGTTTTTTATTAAACTAAACCCAGAGGCAGCGCTGTAACACCTTAGCCACGGTTTCTGTGTCGACTGATGATGGAACTCGCTTATTTTAGAGGTAGCAGAAAAATGACTATAAACAATAGGGAATAAAACTGTGTCAAGACACCTAAATTACAAGGATGATAACTGAGGTGTCTCTTAGTGACTCTGCATATACAAATATTTACTTACCTTATC